GTAGCACAATATAAATTTGCATATATCACAAATGATCATCACATTTCTGATATAATCGAATTTCTATTATGCTCAATCCACCCTATTCCAAAAAATCATACAAAAATTTTTGCCTGGGGTGGATTTTGTGCAACAGGAAAAACTAGCCTTTACTGCTTTCAAGAAAAAATGATGGGACCTTTTTACGTCGAAATCCTTCAGAAGCACTTGCCTGAGATTCAAAAAATGCTAGGACGTGTCTGGTGCTTTCAGCAAGACAATGATCCCAAGCATACAAGTGCTGTAGCTCAGGAGTTCCTTCAGGCAAATATGCCTGAAGTTATTGACTGGCCATCTAACAGCCCTGACATCAATCCCATAGAAAATCTTTGGAGCATAGTTAAGACCAATGTAGAAAGGCAGCAACCAAAAAATCTCACCAAATTAAAGTGTTTTATGATTGAGGAGTGGGAGAGTATTCCAGATTCTGTTATAAAAAATTTGATAGGCTCAATGAAGAGATGTTGTGAAGCGATTATTGAAAGAAATGGCAAACGAATTCCTTTTTGATTTTTATAATAAAATCGATTCATTTCATAGTTTTAAATGAGCTATTTTATAAGTGATTTGCTTTGTTGGTTGTAAAGTTATTGTAATATTACCGAAGGCAAAATTTTTTGTCCCACACTGTACATACTTTGTAATTATTTGCAAAACATATCCAGAGTTTCCTTGTTGAATTGGATAAAGATCTGAGCCAGCAGGCTTATAAAAACACCATTGGTCTTTTTGTAACAAACTAAATTCCGATCTATAGTTGAACAAATAATATTGTTATTCTCACCAGGGAAAATTATCTCTTTGATCAAATTAAGTCTCACTAAGTTTTATAACTGAACAAAAAAAAATAGATTAGCATTTTATAATACATTTAAGTCATAAATAAAGTGTTATGCAATTAAATAATACTTACTACTCTGTACCAGATCTAGGGATTGTAGGAACCTCAGAAAAATTATAAACATCCTTTATGCAAATAATGGTAAAACATACAGTCTTATTATTCTTATTACTACCAACCTCATTGATATTTGTTTTTGTTATACGTTTCTTTTTATTAAAATTTAATTGATGAGGATCAAATTTAATCATATCAGGTGAAAAGGAACCTTCACCATTGTAGTTTGATCGTTTATTATTATTTTAATTAAAAAGCTCATTTATGTGATCCTTCACTGTTGCTGGATATAAAGGATTTGTTTGTGGAGTTGAATAATTCAAATTATTGAAAGCTAGTAGCTGGCTATTGTTGGATTCTCTATCTTCTCCAGCCATTGTAGAGTGAAATGTATTTTGGTGGTTACATGTTTGACAAATATTACTATTATCTTGTTTAGTGAACTTCCAGCAAGAACATTTATTTCCATTATTAAAAGCAAAATGACAAGACATCTTTAAAAATCAATGTGAAATTAGGGACTCATTTTTTTTTTTTTTTTTTTTTTTTTTTTATAATGTTAATGAACGACATCATAAATTAAAATGATATAACATAATTTAAAACAATACACATCATAAATAAAAACGATGCACATCATAAATTAAAACAACTTTTGAATTGTTTGGCACACCAAAGTTTTACAACCTCCTATAGATTGGCAGGAAATGTCCTGTGACTGTTATGACATACTGAAAGGGTATGTTTTTGTTTCAGCATAAAACATATGGAATAGGTACGGTCCATTTTGATTGCATATAAAACATATGTAATGAATGTGAGTGAGTGATACAGCTAATTTAAAGAAAGATTTGTTGATTTTTGATTAAAGTCTCATTAAT